GAGGGGGTAGCAGACATGCACAGGAAGCCTAACTGCTTCTGAAGGAAGTCACTGATAAGGCTACTGGCAGCCTCTGTTCCTTGCCTTGTAGACTTCTTTTTTGTTTGTTTGTTTGTTTGTTTGTTTGTTTTACAAGACAGGGTTTTTCTGTGTAGCCACGGCTGTCCCGGAATTTGCTTTGTAGAGCAGGCTGGCCTCGAACTCACAGAGATCCACCTGCCTCTGTCTCCCAAGTTCTGGGATTAGAATAAAGGTGTGCCCCACCACAGCCAGGCTTCCCTGTAGACTTCTTTATTAAGTCATGACACCTCGCTTTCCCTAGAATAAGTGATTCAATGACGGCAAGGTAAGAGCTATACTATCTGTATTTACTAGTCTTGGAAGTTACAGCATTTCTACAACATTCATCTACAGCTATTAAAATAGGAGTGGGGGCCAACAAGATGATTCTGAAAGTAAAGACACTTGTTGCTCAAGCCTGATGACCTGAATTCTATTTAGAACCCATATAAAGATGGAAGGAGAGAACCAACTCTACACAAGTGTGCCTCTGTGTACATTGAACACATGTGCACACACAAATAATACATAAAAAAAAAAGAACAAAAATAACAACAGTAAAAACCCCAAACTAATCCTGATAAGGGTTATGAATACTAGGAGGCAAGTAACACTGGTGACTATTCTGAAAATTATCACACACACACACACACACACACACACACACACACACACACACACACAGAAAACCCTTTATTGTACATAAATAAGGAAATAACATAAAAATCGTATTTTCCTCTTGAGCAAAATTTCTTGAATATGATTGCATATATATGAAATCTTGGTCCAATTTAAACATACGTTTGTTTTAACTTCCAGAGTTGAGTTTGCCAAGAAAGAAACTTTCTTACTTAAATTACAGGTTGGGCCAGTGCATTTCATAGGTTGGGAAAGGGGGATATTTAGTAAGATAACGTCTTACCAACAACCATCAGTGTGAACTCAAACCCCTTTTTCACTGATTTTCGGTGAACTTGATTGGGAAGATTTGCAAATCCAACATAGCCAGGAGTTTCTGGATTTATAAACTGAGTTGGTTGTTGCTAAAATAAGATTTAAAAAATAAAGAAGAGCTAATAAACATCTTATTGGTTGCTTTTATGACATTATCAGACCTGGGATAAACATATGTAATCAGTAGTTCTCACAAATCAACAAAGAAACTCCACAAATAATCACTTTCAAAACTTAAACTTTTATCAGAAAACAATGTTCACTTAAGAGGATTAGGAAAAAAAAATATATCCAGGCCTGGAGAGATGGCTCAGTGGTTAAGAGAACTGGCTACTCTTCCAGAGGACACAGATCAATTCCCAGCAAGCACATGGCAGCTCACAACTGTCTGCAACTCCAGGTCCAGGGGCTTCAATACCCTAATACAAATATACATGCAGGCAAAACACCAATACACATAAAATAAAAATAAATCTTTTTTTTTTTTTTTTAAAAAGAGCCAATCCAACTTCTTACCTATATGCTGACTCATATTTTATTAGGCAATATTCTACCTAGCAATTTAACTATGTAAGATTAATTTATCTCAGTGCAATAATTTAAATTATGGCTTAAATTTATAATTCTCTTTAAATTATAAAGAGAATAACAAAAACTGACTCCTTTCATTCAATACGTAGCTAAAGAACAGCCTCCAACCAGGTATCAGGCATGATGGGTCTGTGAAACAATGGGGATAAAGACATTTCTTGCTATCCTTTCTCTTATGGCACAGAGCTTTATCTAAAGAAAGGCAGTATATCTAGTACAATGTTGAGATTTCAATGTCGTCAAAATATCTATCTGCTGTGACAGGCTCACTACATATTCCCAGCTGCTCTGGAGCTTGCAATCTTTTTGCTTCAGCATTCCAACTGCTCAGATTACAGGCACCTGCCACCATGCCTGACCACATCAGTATTTCTTGATGAAAGAATGCTTGATAAGACTAAAGACGATGAAGATGTGGTAATTCAAGAAAAGTAAAACCACAATCTAGGAGATGGGAAGATAGAATGCTTGTATTGCAAGTCTGAGAACCTGAAGTCAATCACTAGAACTCAATCACTAGAACTCAAATTAAAAACAAAACAAAACAAAACCTGGGCAAGGTGGTAAGCCAGTATGATCTCAGCACTGGACAAGTGAAGACAGATGCATAGTTAAGGCTCCAGACCAGTGAGAGATCTGTCTGTCTCTCTCCATCCTCCCACTGACATACATAAAAAAGACTAGGAAGGACAAAGAAGCAAACCAACAAACGAAAACAGTGGTGGACAGTGAGGAATAGCACCCAAGGTTGAACTGTAGCTTCTACAAACACACACACCCCTTAAATTTATGTAGTGGTATACTGAAAATGAAAAAATTTCAATTCATTATTCAAACCAAATGAAAAAAAAAGTTATAAAATAGCCTTTTAAAAGGATTACATTTTATAACTGTCCATTCACATGCACACAGAGATAAAAATATACCTAAAACCTTCACAGTGATTATTTCTGGGTGGTAGAATGATGACATTTATTTATCTCTGTTCTATACTATTTGTATAAAAAGCAAAAACTGATATTATGGCTTTATATTGGATATCAAGAAATACTATAGACTCAAAAATAATGGGCAAAGAAAAATAATAACATTGCATTTTTCACTACAAGTTCTACTTTCTCTGCTTATGTCCTTTAGAACTAATTTATATCAGGGCTCTGGACCAATTTATAAGGGCTGATATAAATGAATGTAGCATGTCTAAGAGCCCCATTAAATTATTTTTATGAATTATTAGCATTTTTAATTGCTACTTGATTGCTATGAGAAAATCTAAGACGGTTAAGAGGCTTCATATTGACATATTAAAAAGAACAAAGCAAGTCCAGGACAGCCAAGGTTACACAGAGAAACCCTGTCTTGAAAACCAATAATAATAATAATAATAATAAAATTTGGAAAAGAAGGCAATCAAAAACATTAGAATAACAGTCCAAAATTGGAAATTCATCTATAGAAATCCTACCTTTTAATTATCTGAAAATTTAAAATAATTTTTCTTTATACTGTAAAAAAATGAACTATGACCTTACCTTAGACATATTTCTTGATTTTTCAGTCTATCTGTTAAAAAAAAAAGACAGATGTCTGAGTTTGTACATATACATTTAACAGCAATAAAGTGACCCATGAAGGTATGTGACATCAGCTTGTTTCTTTAGTGTCTCAGTAACTTCAAACATTGCCCTAGAAATGATGTAACAATCATTATTCAATATAAAACCAAAATTAGGTAAGTTGATAAAAGCAACTGTACATTCATTCATTTCTAAGTTTCCAAATATATACTTATGTTTTCATTCAGTAATGATTACATCTTAGACAACAGAGATATTCTATAAAGAGTCAAAATAAATATTAGACAAAAACATTGAGAAAGAAATTAAAATTATATGGCAGGAAACTTAGTTCCTGTTCCTCACTGCAGCATCAAATTCTTACTGTTTTTTTCGCCTTCTATGGGTCAAAAAGGTCAAGACTGTGAAATTATTTTGGTCTCAATAAATGAAAT